GGACTCCATAAAGCTCAGTAATGGATGCGATCCTCTGTAACAGCATATACTTTTAATGGCTCCAAAAAGCTAAGTAGGGGGCTTCCCTGGTGGCGCAGTGGTTGAGAGTCCGCCTGCCGATGCAGGGGACACGGGTTTGTGCCTTGGTCTGGGAAGATCCCACATGCCGCGGAGCGGCTGGGCCCGTGAGCCATGGCCGCTGAGCCTGCGCGTCCGGAGCCTGTGCTCCGCAACGGGAGAGGCCACAGCAGTGAGAGGCCCACAAACCGAAAAAAAAAAAAAGCTAAGTAGGAACATCTTGACTTCTGTGCTTAAAATTCACTCAGGTAAGTAGTAAATCTTGCAGAAAAGTTGTGTTTTAAAGACATAAGGATTAAAAACAAAACAAAATACTCTCTTCGGGAAACAGGAGGCATACTCAAGGTAGCAGCGTGGTTTTAGGCTACGGGCTCTTTAAATACTGGCCCTATAACCTCCCAGCTGTGTGTTTTTTGGCAACTTAAGAAACCTTTGTGCCTCAACTTTCCCATCTGTAAAGTGGGCATAAAAACAACAGCTGTCTCAAAGTGCTGCTGAGGGTATTAAGGACATGATGACCTGTAGTCTCCCCAGAGAAGCGCTTGGCACGTGGGAAGCATATGTTTCAGCTCACCCTTAGCCTGAAGATGAAAACGCACAACACATCACAAAGAATGCGTGTGTTAAATGAAAAAGGAGATAAACTCTGCACTCTGAAACTGGCATTTAAACAAGGATGTTAAAGAAAACTAAAGGGTCACCAACCAGATGTCTTAAGATAGCTTTAAGTGGTACCCAGCTGGCTGCATGGAGGCAGTATCTTCCTCAGCCACCCAACCGATTCAGCTTCTAAAACTCAATATTGTTTATTCAACAGAGCGGGTAGCGTTTTAAGGCAGTAAGATGTAAGAGAGAAAATTACAATGATCACAGCCCCAACTTTTTATTTATTTATTTATTGACTATTTATTTTTGGTTGTGTCGGGTCTTCATTGCTGCGCACGGGTTTTCTCTAGTTGCAGCAAGCGGGGGCTACTCTTCGTTGCAGTGCACGGGCTTCTCATTGCGGTGGCTTCTCTTGTTGCGGAGCTCGGGCTCTAGGCACGTGGGCTCAGTAGCTGTGGAACGCGGGCTCTAGAGCGCAGGCTCAGTAGTCATGGCTTGCGGGCTCTAGAACGCAGGCTCAGTAGTTGTGGCTCGTGGCCTCTAGAGCGCAGGCTCAGTAGTTGTGGCGCACAGGCTTAGTTGCTCTGTGGCATGTGGGATCTTCCCCGGACCAGGGATCGAACCCGTGTCCCCTGCATTGGCAAGCGGATTCTTAACCACTGCACCACCAGGGAAGTCCCTCACAGCTCCAACTTTGATCAGAGTCTAAAATGCCTCCTTCATGGCCTGCTCTTCTGTTCTTCCCTGTGGCTGGGGACCTTGTGCCTGCAAAGTATGTCAGCTGTGAGAGGAAGGCGGATGGGCTGCAGCTTCTCAGAGTCAAAATCTCTGCAAATATAAGTGTCTTTAGGGAACTCCCTGGCGGTCCAGTGGTTAGGACTCAGCGCTCTCACTGCCAGGGCCTGGGTTCAATCCCTGGTTGGGGAACTAAAATCCCACACGCTGCGGTGTGGCAAAAAAAAAAAAAGGTCTTTACTTGGTATCAACAAACCCACACACACGTGCGCGTGCACACACAACCACAAACGACCATATACATGCGCATGCACACATACCACACACACAAAGAGGCATACACAGACACAGCTCCTCCTTGGGGCGTTCTGATGGAAGAAACGCTGTCAGCTGGAAGACTTGGCCTCAGAGTACTAGAATTCTTGATGAGATGGCTCCGTACATTTTATGTACAACATAAAAAAAAACACAGGGATTTTACATTCTGAGTGTTTCCTCCTTTATGGAGATGTCTTTTAGGGCTGCAGCCTACGAGCATACTGCCCAAGATAATAGGATGGACTTCCGGCTCCAGACCCTAATTCCATCATCGTTGACACAAGACTTTATCCTCAGAAGTCTCCGGCATCTGCCTTTAAGAGGACACAACAAACCAGGGCTTCTGCCTTGCAGAGCTGCCTTTCCCTACAAACAAAGAGCTCTCCTCCCTGTGGCTGAGATGCAAAGGCTTGGGTTGGTGGAGATGCCACGGCACACCTGCATCTCTGTCACGTGGCTGCACCCTGCAGAGTGGCACGTGAGGAGGAATGCAGGGAATGCACTATTCCAGCGAGCACGGGTCAAGCGACATCCTCACCCTGGGAACTACAGAACATCCCGGGAGAAGCTGGACAGGGTCTCCGGAGAAGGAAACTCTGAGGGCTGCGCTCCATGCTTTGAGTCACAGAGCACATGGCTTTCGCCCA